AGAGCAAGAAAAGGAGAGAGGATTCCAGGGGCCAGTCACCCTGCTACACAGGAAGCCACAGAATAAGAAATAAACAAAGGTATATAGAATAGAGAAAGATAAAAACCCAGGGGCAAAAAGTAGATGGGATAATTTAAGTTAAGAAAAGTTGGCTAGAAATAAGTTAAACCTGGACATTCATAACTAATAATAAACCCCCAGGTGTGATTTATTTGGGAGTTGGGTGGCAAGCCCCTGAAGATTAAAGAGTAAAAAACTACCAATTACAGGTAGTCATAACATAGTAAGTCATAAGTGGTCGTATGACCTTTTGAAACAAAGGTAGGGTTGCAAGATGATTATAAACATCTTTTTGAAACTAAGCCATGATTGCCATTCCTAGATCAGGCAGTACAGAACCCTTTTGTTGTTAAGGTTACGGGTGGGGCATAGCCCAATCCTTGAAAAAACAGAGGTTTAGTCATAAACAGAAATGAATCTCTCTTGTCTTTACAGTATAATAGCTTTTAAGCCTAGGATGGAGACAGGCTTGTTCTTCAATAGTTTCCATTTTATAAATACAGAAAGTAACATTTCTTTAACCCATGAGCAAGACCCCTTAGCTAGTTTCAGATGTTCCTCAGTCAGCTAGGAAGGTGTAGACACAGAATCTGCATCCATCCTATTAAAATAAGAATTCAAAGAGCTCTAGAAATTCCAGGCCACATAATTACCCGTTTTATGGTTTTCTCTATTAGGAAAATGGACTGGGATGGGCTATAATCAAGAGGTAGGGTGCCTGCTTAGTCTTTTAGATCCGGGTCGATCCCTAGAAAAGAAAATAACAGGGAAAGCCTGCAAGGTTCCAAGATGGTCTGCAACGTGACAGCTGCTCAGCTTGGAAACCGCCCTCGCACACAAGGCGCTGGCGTCAGAGCCATGGTGGTGACTGACAGCTCACCGCGAGGCCGGCCTCCCCAGCCGGGTCCACACTGCACAGAAACAGAAACAAAGAGGACAGTGGAGAAAAAGCAGGTGACCAGAAGCGGTGAGTCTGAAGCAAAAACGCAAGGGCAAACGAGGTCTTGCCTGAGGGGACTCGGTGTCACACTGACGCTGGCAGACGCTACTGGCCCCTCCTAGCAACCAATTCTGGTGGTCAGGCCAGGGCATCAGCTGTTGCTGGGCAGATTAGAAGCCTCTTCTGCCCCCTCACAGCAAGGACCCGATGTTAAAGCTATCTCGGAAATGCTGGCATGGAGAGGACAGGGAAAAGACGCGGAAGGAAAAAGTTCTCTGCTGGTTTTCCGACCCAGAACAGGAAGTTTCTTCTGGCAGTCTTTTCCCACGGTGGCTGCAGCTCCAATAAAGAAATTCCTTTTTTGTTTGTTTTTCGTTGTTTGTCTGTCTTGTTTTGAGACAGGGTTTTTCTGTGTATCCCTGGCTGTCCTGGAACTCACTTTGTAGAGCGGGCTGAAGAAATTCTTTACACTGTGAGGAAGACATAATAAAAAGTGCCTTTGAATTCTTATACTCAGCTGTCCTGGATATTCCAGATGTACCCCACTCCCATCTACCCAACAGCCAATTACTTCTTCCACAGGACAGCCCTTGGTATTGCCTAAAACTAGCACTTCCCCCACCCCAACCCCTATTTAGAGTGAAAAGCAAGCGTATCCCCCTGACTGACTAAACTACACAATTTTCTCTTTAAATAAAAATGTGATAACTTTTCATGATAATAATTATTATCGCAATAACAGAAGACGCATAAGAAGTTACTTTTTTGTTTTAATTTGTTTTGTTTTATTTGAGGTTTCTGTGTTGCTTAGGTCCAGATGTCCTTGATTTCACTTTGTAGCCAAGTATCAGCCTGACTTCACCACCACGTGCTGACATTATAGCATGCACCACCTTGCCTGCCCTGCTGAGAATACTTGAAACGAAACATTTTAATACATTTTAATTGTTAGTAAGTGTGGTGGTTTGAATAAGAATGGCTCCCAGAGGCTCATAGATTTGAATGCTAGGAAATGGCACTAATTGATAAGGATTAGGGGGTGTGGTCTTATTGGACAAAGTATGTCACTGGGGGTGGGCTTTGGGGTTTCAAGTGTCTGCCTGTGTGCTGCCATGTTACCTGCCATGCGGATACGGACAGAACCTCTGAACCTATTAAGTCAGTCCCAATTAAATGCTTTCTTTTTCAATAAAAACATAGAAGTCATGCTAAAGAAGTATAAAAGAAAGAAATAAAAGAAAGGATTCTGTGAAACAATGATGTGCACAAAGTGGATAGTTGTGTGAAACATGTTTAGTATGTAGGCTTTAATGGGTAATATCATTAAACTCAAGAGCTTTTGTTGTGTAATAAACAATAGATGGAAGAATAAAAAAAACAAAAAATGCTTTCTTTTATAAGAGATGCCTTGGTCATGTCCCTCAATTTGAAAAACAAAAAGTCAGTTTTGGGGGGGGTAATAGCAGGGTTGTTTTATACATAATTCCATTCCATTTGATAAGTGAAGAGCCTGTGTCTTTTATTTGGAGGTCAGCTTCAATTCCAGACTCTCCATTCTTATTAAGTGTTAAGTGGAAAAAGGTGACACTCAGACCTGCCAGGCATGATGGTACATTTCTGTAGTGTCAGCATTTGGGAGGCAGAGGCAGTAGGCTCAGGAGATCAAGGTTATCCTCAGCTACGGAGCGAGTTTCAGGCCAGCCTGGACATAGCAAAACAGTGACAATCTGGTAGAAGGGGACAATTGAGGGGGTCGCTGCTTCCCACCGTATGCAGCTTCTAAGTATCTGTTTCTCAAGCACTTGTTTGATAGGAAATTGCATCAAACTGGTTCACATCAGGGTATTATTTCTCCAGCAGACTTATGAGGCTTCTGGCTAAATGGAGATAGCTTGGACCTCTGACAGTCTATCAGTCACTGGGTCTCAGATTCAAGCACACTCACTCTTCAGATTCAAGCACACCACTAAGACAAAAGCAAAGTTGGCTTTGTAGACATGTTGTCAGGGCAGTTGTTCAGGGTCGCATTGTTAGATAGCTGGAGCAGATTGAAGACATTAGAACTGAACTCCTCCTTCATAATAAACATCTTACAAAGCCAATGACTGAGAACTTGAGGATTCTGATTACTGGTCAGAGGAATAGTACCTGAGCTATTTCTGTCCCTGAGAGGAGACTGAGCATCCTAAACAGCCCAGGGAGTCATTAATGGACAGCTTTCTTACCCTGCTTCTAGGAGCCCTAAACCTTATAAGATTATTACATTTTATCCATTAAGCCCACCATATACCATACTGTTAAATGGTTACTAGTTTAAATTAACTAAATACATTTTTGTCTTAGTCTAGTAAATTATTCTTTAATGGAAGCAACCTAAACATTGTGGAACAAAAATAGCAACAAATACTGTCTAGGATATAAGAAAGAGGCATGCACACACACACAAATAATAATAATAATAGTGATAATGATAACAACTCAACCTAATTCTATGTTTGAAAAAGAAAATAGGCCATGATGGCATAGGCCTATAAACCTATCACTCGAAGACTAAGACAGTAGGATCATGGGTAACAAGGCAGGTAAGACCCTGTTTCAAAATGATAAAACAAGAAGCTCATGTCTTCATTACAGATGTCATTTTCAGCTGTGAACAATGCCAAAGCTGGACATGTGTCTGCATGCTGGACCTGTTCCTGAAGCCCATGTTGACTGACAGATTCTCTTTCTCATCAGTGCTGACTCTCTGGGCACGGATGACTATCGGCTCTTAATGTTCACCTTGTGACTTTCTCAGATATAATCTTTGAGAGCTGGGCACAATGGCTCACACCTACAATCCTAGCACTATACAAGCAGAGACAGGAAGATCCCTGCAAATTTGAGGCTAGCCTGGGCTACATAGTGAGTTCCAGGTGAGCCTGTGCTATAAAGTAAGACCCTATCTCAAAATGAAACAAACAACAACAAAGCCTGTGCTATAGAGTAAGACCCTTTCTCAAAATGAAACAAACAACAACAACAAAAAATTTGCAACAACAAAAAAATCACATTCATCCTTTGCTGGTAAGAAGCTGACTAAACTCAAGTAAACTGTTCATATCCAAGCACAAAGACAGGAGTCTGGATCTACTATAGGAGAGAACATGTTTTACATAGAGGAGGGACTGGCGCTAGGAATATGACTCAGTGGAGAAAGCATTGGCCGTGCAAGAATAAGAACAGGTATGAGGTCCCACCTGTAATCCCGGCTCAGGAGGTGAATTCAGTGAGAGACATATCTCAGTGAATAAAATGAAGAGTGGTTGAGGAAAACATCTGATGTCAACCTCTAGCTCCACGTGTATATGCACACACATTTGAACAAACAATAACAGACACATTCATACCACACTTACAAATATCTGCAAAAAAGAAGAGGCTGGGCATGGTGGCACACGCCTTTAATCCCAGTACTTAAGACACAAAGGCAGGTGGGTCTCAGTGAGTTCAAGGCCAGCCTGCTCTACATGTCAAGTTCCAGGGCAGCCAACCACAGGGAGACCTTGTCTCAGAGTGGGGGTTGTGGAGAAGGAAAAGGAAACTAAGCAAGCTGTGGTAGTTACAGGCCTTATCATCTCAGCAGTCAGGATTCAAAGACAGGAGGATGGGTACTTAAAGGTCATCCTGTGCTATATTGGTTTGTGACCAGGCTGGTATATATGATACTGCCACACACAGAGAGACAATAGACATAGCAAGTCAAGGGTTAACGTTTTTATTATTAAAAGACTTCAGTAATCACTCTCCGACAGACAGTTTTTGGTAGCAAGAGGAATTAAGCAAGCCTTACAGACTCCACAAACAGGTCCCTCTGATGACCCCTGAGCAGCACTACATGCCCTTCCCAAGACTGGATCTGGGGAGGGGAAAAGGCCCAGTACCAGTCAGCCACTGCTCCAATGCTGTGAGGGGGTGTAGAAGCAAACCCTGACATCAATGGCTCTGTAGTCCTTTTGTGCAAATGCCTGGCAGGGGTGACGTGGGGCCATTCCTCTGGGCACAGCTGTGGTAATGCCTGGATGGAGGTAGGGCCTGGGCAGTAGTGCCCTCCCAGATTCTCCCTTCAGGCTTCTTGGAGTGAGAGACATGCAGCCTGAGGGCCTCAGCGTGGCCTGACCCTGCTGCCAGGGACTCTGTCTGAAGTAACCATGAAGATGGACAGTTCGTGGAGCTTTTCTCTGTCCAGCTGCCTCCTCTCCCTGCTCCTGCTCCTCCAACTGTCATCCAGCTATGCGGGTAAGCATGATAATTCTAGCCCTACATAGACCTAAGAACAGACCTACACTTAGGTCTGCTGGCATGGTTTCCCTCCTTAGACACCTTCCTGATTTCTTGTGGAATTGAATTCAAACTTTCCCCCATTCATATGGTGCTGGGAATCAAACTCAGGGCCTTGTGCAAGCTAAGTTCATGCTTTACTACTGAGCTCTATCCCCAGCCCTAGTTTTGGTTTTTCACCTTTCAAAAGAGAGAGAGAAACAAATTCTTGGAGTTGCTGTCAGAGGGGTTTGTTTGTTGTTGTTTATTTGGTTGGTTTTGTTTTTTTCACTGTAGCTTTGGAGCCTGTCCCAGAACTTGCTCTGTAGACCAAGCTAGCTTCTGACTCACAGAAATCCACCTGTCTCTGCCTTCTGAGTACTGGGATTAAAGGCATGCGCTACCACTGCCCTGCCTGCTGCCAGAGTTTTAAATGAGAAAGTCTTTTGCACATTACTGCAATACCTGTTTGTAGCAAATCTCAATAAATGTTTGTTGAGGGTTAGTGAGATGGCTCAGTGGGTAAAAGTCCTTGCCTCTAAGCCCGATGATCTCAATGATAAAATAAAATTAAATTAAATGTTTTTAAATAACTGAGTTATAGCATCTCATTACATTTGAGACCTTGCTCTGTAGAATCAGACAGCAGTAAGTTTTTATACAGAAGCCCGTTCCCCAATTGGGAGGAGAAATTTAAAAAAAAAAAAACAGAAGACAGAGTCCTACCTCAGACAGTTGTGTGATTGATGGAGGCCTAGTGCATGTACTGCTTAAGGACATCCTGGTGTAAGGAAGAACCCAGCTTGCTTGCCAGGAGCTGAACCTCGCTGGGAAGAAGTTCAGAGAACAGTCCAGAGCTAGAGTGAGGCTGAAGGTTACAGATGATAAAGAAGAGCGAGGCGGCTGTCTCCAGAGTGCACGACTTCACAGTGACCTCAGGGAGCAAGGTGTGTCTTGAAGAATGGGGAGGAGGCACCGAGGAGATGGCTCAGAAGTTAAGCATGCTTGCTGCATCTGCAGAGGACCTAAGGTTGGGTCCTCAGCACCAATATCCATGAGGAAGCTCATAGCTACCTGTAACCCCAGCTCCAGAGGACCTTCTTCTGGATTCCAAGGGTAGTCACACAAAGGTAACATACATTCACCCACACTGGCACAGACACAAAATCTTTAAAAGAAAAAGATGATTGCCCTAAGCCAAACATGGTAGCACATACCCATAATTCCGGCACTTGAAAAGTTAAGACAGAAGCCAGCGGTGGTGGTGCATGCCTTTAATCCCAGCACTCTCAAGGCAGAGGCAGGAGGATCTACCTGAGTTTGAGGCCAGCCTGGTCTACAAAGCTACACAGAGAAACCCTGTCTCAAAAAAAAAAAAAAAGAAAAGAAAAGAAAAGAAAAGAAAAAAAAGAAGAAAAGAAAGGAAAAGAAAAGAAAGAGAGACAGGAGGATTGCTGTGAGTTCAAGGCCAGCCTGAGCAAACGCTGTATCAAAATTAATAAATAGGGGCTGAAAATTTGACTCTGTAGTAAAGAGTATGTACTTCTCTTTCAAAAGGCTGGTATTGGTTCCCGACACTCCATAACTACAGATTCAGGGGGGACCAAATGCCTCTGGCCTCTGAGGCCACCTGCACTCATATGAGTGCTGGTGTAGACACACACACACACACACACACACACACACACACACACACACACACACACACAAGTAAAACAAATCACTGGGGGTGTGGTGGTTTACAACTTTGCTTCCCAGCACTTGGGAGGCAGAGGAAGGCAGGTCTCTGAGTTCCTGGTCTCTGAGTTCCAGGTCACCCACAGCTACATAAAGACCCAATCTCTAAAATAAATAAAATAAAAACTAAAAATTGAATTTCCTCTCTCTTACTCATTTTGAAGTAGCTTTCCTCTGATGAACTGGTCACATCTGACCCTTGGTTTCTTTTTTTTTTGGCGTCTTGGACAGGACAGTTCAAAGTGATAGGACCTGGGCATCCCATCCGGGCTTTGGTTGGGGATGAAGCAGAACTGCAATGCCGAATCTCTCCCGCGAAGAATGCTTCGGGCATGGAGGTGGGGTGGTACCGTCCTCCCTTTTCTAGGGTGGTTCATCTCTACCGAAATGGCAAGGACCAGGATGCAGAGCAGGCACCTGAATACCGGGGACGCACGGAGCTTCTGAAGGATAGTATCGGCGAGGGAAAGGCTACCCTCAGGATCCGGAGAGTGAGGTTCTCGGACGAAGGAGGCTACACCTGCTTCTTCAGAGATCACTCTTACCAAGAGGAGGCAGCAATGGAGTTGAAGGTGGAAGGTGAGTCTGCCAAGGTAATACCCAGTATGACCTGGGGAGTGGTTGACCTCTCCTTCAGCCTTCAGTCATTCAGCTGATGTCACTTCTGAGATCAGTTCCAGGGATTCCTATGCTGTGGCTGTTGGCTGTTTTGTTATTTGAATTGGGAAAGAAAATTGGAATGAAAGTCAGTGTTCATGGATAAGAAAGGGACATTAAATAAAGATGGTATCTAAGCTAGACAAATGCTTTTGCACTTCAGTTTTGATTTGGTTTGGTTTTTTGTTTTGTTTTGTTTTTTTGCTTGTTTGTTTTGTTTTGTTGTTTTTTCCTTAAATGATGGCTTTTCAGTGTGTAGCTCTGGCTGGCCTAGAACTCGTCATATAGATCAGGCTGGCCTCAAACTCACAGTGGTTCTCCTGTTTCTGACTTCTAAGTGCTAAGAGCTTCAATTAAAGGCATTTGCCACCACAGCTAGCACATATATATACATATATATATATATCCTTGGGCAATCCTCCAGTCACAGCCCCTGGTGTGCTGGAACTAAAAGCATGAGTCACCATGCTCAGTTTAAAATGATTGTTTTAGAACCATACCAGATAGCTTGAGTGCCTTCCATGAGAACTTGTTGAGTGACATAAGCAAGTCATAGAATAGAGGGAACAAAAACATGCCCCCATGTTTGAGTGTGCATTTACATATATGTATACACACCTATATACATATATAATCAATGTATATGTTGTGTGTGCATATATGTGTGTGCGTTTCATGGCAGAGATATAATTTGTGTGTGTGTGTGTGCGCGCGCACGTGTGTGCGTGCATGAATGAGTATAAATGGCAGGGATAATTCAGTTAGTAGAGTGCCCACCTAGAATGCAAGTAGACACTGGTTCAGTCCCCAGAACTGCATAAACTAATCTGAGAAGCACTTAGAAGTTAAAGTCAGGAGGAAAAGAAGTTAGACACCAGCCTAGGTGATAAGAGACTGTCTCCAACAAAACAAAACAAAAAAGAGGCTGGAGAGATGGCTCCGTGTTTAAGAGTTTTTGAAGCTCTTGCAGTGGACCAGAGTTTGGTTCCCAGTACCCACATAACTCCAGCTCTGGGAGGGAGATCGAATACCTTCCTCTGGCCTCCAAAGGCACCCCTACACAAATATACACATAAATAAATAAATAAATAAATAAAATCGAACACACACACAGGGGTGGGGGAGACCCACAGTTTCATCGTCATTGCTTCATTCTCACGACTTTTCATTTTCAGTGTGCTTTGTGTGGTAGCTGCTTTTAGAGTTATTTATTATTTGTCCTGCCTCAGCATGGCTAAAGTGTGGATAGGAAAATAGACGGAGGGAGCTTTGGAAGTTAACTGCTATGTAGTTGAAGAACGAAAGTGTTGCGAGTGCTTTCCCTTCCTCCTCACCACCTGCAGCAAGAACATCAGACAATCCACCATTTCTGTATCTGAGGTGGGGGTGACTGTTGCCAGGCTGAGATCAGAAGATGCATTGTGTGCCCAGTAACAAAGCGCTATTTCTAGAGACAGCTCGCAGGAACATGAGAATAGCTGTGTGCCACAGAGTGTTCTTCAGATAGCTGGGGTTTTTGTTTTTTTTTTTTTGTTTGTTTTTGTTTTTGCTTTTGCTGGGAAACTTTTACTCATAAAGAAGTGGAGGGTCAGAACTTCTGCAGACGGATTTTCCCTCTTTTGCTCAGCAAATTCCCAGGTCAGCTGCCATCTCCAGCAGGGAAGAAAGATGGAAGAGGGGAACAGAACACATGCCACACACTTTGCCTCAGGGATGAGTGCTTTCCTTTGAGGGATTTCCATATTCCAAATCCCTCCAGTCATCTCCTGTTTTGCTTGTTTGAGAGAGAGAGGAATAGTCGGAGTGCCATTCACAGGCTGAATAAAATCTGGGGAGTAGTAACACTACACAAGCCTGTAATACCAGCATTTGGGAGCTGGAAGCTAGAGGACAAGGAGACTTCAAGAACAGACTTGCCCTGTTTTAAAAACAAAACAAAATCAATGGTCACATTATTCCTTCTCTAGAAACAAGCCCACTCTACAAGAGAGAGAGAGAGAGAGAAAGGAAAAAAGTCAAGCTTGTTTTTCTATTCTATTATCCTTTTTTTTTTTTTTTTTTGAGAAAGGTCTTGTAGGCTGGCCTGTGACTTGCAGCAATCCTCCTACCTCAGGATTCTGAATGCTGGGATTATAGACTTGTGTAATGCTGGATGTGTCAGCATTTTGTGTAGTTGGACCTTTTTGCCAGGACCACCAGCTCCTCAATAGTGACAGAGAGACATTGTTATTAATTATGAAAGCTCAGCTGGTAGCTTAGGCTTGTTACTAACTAGCTCTTGCAATTTAACCAATTTTTAGCGGTCTGTGTTTTGTCTCGTGGCTTTATAACCTTTATTCTGTATTACCCATGCTGCTTCTTCTCCTGTATAGCTGACAACTCCACCCTTCTTCTCCCCAGTGTCCTCTGTGCCTCAAAATCCTGCCTAGTTATTGACCATTTAGCTTTTTATTCAGCCAGTCAGAGAGGCACTGTTAGTATTCAGGCATTTGTACTGACCTGTCCTTGGGGTTCTGACAGGATGCGCCCTCAGCTACAGCCACTAAGAGCTCCACCTGTGCATATTCACTATGTTCTCTTTTAAAAGGGCGCAGCCCACCTCCCATCTGCCTCTCTTTCTTTCTCTCCCTGCCTCTCTCTGTCTCTCTGTCTCTCTCTTCTGCCACTCCTGTTCCCAGCGGCCAGTATCCCCTCTCCCCTTTTCCTATTCACTTTCTCCCAATTAAAAAACCCCCCACCCAAGCTCTGTCACATGGTGTATTTCTCTCACAGAGTGCTTTTTAAAATTACAACAGACACATGTTCATAGTGCACAAAAAGACTATTCTACATTTCCCCCTTTTTGTCTAAATTAAAAAGGAAAGGTTTTAACTCTAACAGTAAAGCTGTTTACAATAAGAACAATCAGGTATTGTCTAAGTAGAAAGGAAACATATTAACTTTAACAAATGAAACAGTAAGAACAATTATCAAGTAAGAATTACATTATAATATCTAGTCCATTTGTATTTGGTAAATTTAGAGAAAACACTCTGTTAACTATCCTTTCTTGATGAGTCCAAAGTTTTGTGCCTAATTTACTTTCTATCATAACTAAGGAAAATAACTATCTAACCTTCAATTACATGGAAGATCCCAAAAGGATATAGTGTTACCTGAGTAAACAGGAAGTGCAGTAATGAAAGCCACTTTCAAAACTAAGAAACAGCAGAGACATCTGGCTACCTGAATAGTCACCCCAGCATTCCTCTGCAATGTTGGGACATTCATCTTCAGCCTACACACCTAGAATATCTGGCAGACTTTTCTGTGAAACAGAAGTTTTGAAGGACTGTCTAACTTTATCTTGGCAAAGTTCAGAAGTCTTTTCCTTTGTGTCCTGCTTGTCCCATTTGTACAGAGTCCTGTCAGCAGTCAAGACAAGGGCAGTTTCTTGCCCAAATGGCTAGTTTTGCCACATTGAAAGCAAACTCTATATAGAGTTCTTCAATGCCCATCATCTTCTCTGAAGTAAATTGGTGCTGCCAGGAGCAGACATGTCTCATTGTCATGAAAATCCCAATGTTAAAAAAAACATTTTAAATGCCATATTCTGTAGGTCTTGGAAGTGCTTGAAGACCATCTACTTATCTAAAATGTGTCTCTGTTCAACCTTGAAAACATACCTACTATGAGTACAAGTTTGATTATTATAGGTGACTAACTACTAACCTGCATTTCTTTATTACCCTTAATAGTTTGTAATAATAATTTACAAAAACTAGAAGATGCCTAGGCAGTGATGGAGCACATCTTTAATCCCAGTATTATCCAGGCAGAGGTGGGCAGATCTCTGTGAGTTTGGGGCCAGCCTGGTCTACAAAGTTACACAGAGAAACCCTGCCTCAAAAAACAAAAACAAAAATAAAACAAAAAACCAAACCAAAACAAAACAAAAAAAGAACTAGAAATTGACATTACATTGTTAAATGAGTTTCACAGGTACAATACTTTAAACAAGAGTAGAAATATACATATAGAATGTTCTAATAGAAATAACCTTAAATTTGTGTTGATATACAAAAATGCCTTAAACAAGAGTAGAGATTTATACACAGTATAACAAAAATAACATTAAATTTGTATCAATAGTCGGGTGGTGGTGGCACACACCTTTAATCCCAGCACTTGGAAGGCAGAGGCAGGCAGAGTTCAAGGCTAGCCTGGTCTACAGCGTGACAGGACAGGTTCTAAAGTTACAGAGAAACCCAGACTCAAAAAACAACAACAACAAATGGTATCAATATATAAAAATCCATAGCAATGTAAAATACTTAAGAGTAGTATTTGCTGTTTTAGTTTAAAAATAGATTCAATAATCTACCCTTTTATCCTATCATTTCTATATCCCTCTTTTTCTTTTCAAAAATGAGATCCCTGAATCTAATTTGTTTAGTATCCTCCATGACCAGGACCAATAACAACTTGTGACCAACCCCCTAAGCAATGATAAACATTTATAACCCAACAAAGGACCAAAAGCCATCCACTCCAACTCTTGGGAATGTGGGTATTGTGTTCTCTAGACTGCTTCTTGTTGTCTGGGGATGCTGAAATCTTTGGGGGATCCTGAGAAAATTAGGATAATAGTGAGGCTGGACCATCTCAGTCAGCAGCCTTGAAGCTGTTCTAGATGCAGAACTCTGAGGAAACCGCAATAGAGGCACTCTGAGAGACTGGGTCACCTGGACTACCTGTTTTCATTGGCGTCTGGTCCCCTTGCTCTGAAAACACATAAGCTTTCACAGGTAGCATATATATCTGCATCGACACAAGTATGGACTATGCATTGTACACAAGTCAGTTAAAGATGAATTTTTGTTTTATGTTTGAGCAGGTAAAAGGCATCTGTCAACTTCATAAGTTCATCTGGATATAATCAAACTGTAATATAAATCTCTATCCATGCCATAGGAAAGGATTGTATGTAATAATAAGTCATGAGGATTCTGTAACCAGCAAGATTTATCATATCTCGTCTCATCTGAGAGCTGTTCCCAAGTCAAAGGATCAGCTTACACATCACCTGTCATGTAGTCTTTTTTTTTTTTTTGGCTTCCTCCCCCATGTCTGTAGCCAAGATACTCAGGAAGTCTTCCATGGCCAAATCTGATCTCTATTAATCTGGAAGGAATCCAACAAATGCATAACCTCTCCCCAAATGCAAGAAAAGCAACTGCTGAACTTTGCCAAGACAAAGTAGAAAGGTCCTTTAAAAATTTCTGTTTCACAAAAGAGTCTATCAAATATATGAAGATGGGTACCTCTACATAGCAGAGGTACCTTGGGTGACTGCCCAGACAGCCAGCTGTTTCTGTCATTTCTTTCAGTTTTGGAAGTTGCTTGCTCTGCACTTCCTGTTTACTAAGGCAATATTATATCCTTCTGGAGTCTTTGATGGAGTTAAAGTCAGTTATGATAGAAGGTGAATTAAATCAGCGATTTGGACTCAACAAGATAGAATAAATAATGGAGTATTTTACCCAAATATGCCAAATACAAATGGACTGGTCATTTTAAATGTAATTTTTACCTGATAATTGTTCTTATTGTATGTAGTTTTACTATGCTAGAGTTAAAACCTTTCCTTTTTATTTAGATAAAATGGGGGAAATGTTGTGGAATAAGCTTTTTGTACGCTGAGAAGATTTGCCACTCGGATTGGTTTAATAAAAAGGTGAATTTTGGGGGCAGAGAGGACACTGGAAGAAGGGCAGAGATGTGGAGAGTCACCAACCAGAGATAGAGGAAGCAGGAATGCAGCATGGACAACACAGAGTAAGGGTAATAAAGCCAATAGGCAGAAAGTAAATTAATAGAAATTAGTTAATTTAAGTTATAAGAGCTAGTTAGAAACAAGCCTAAGCTATTGGCCAAACTTTGACAATTAAAGGTAAGTCTCTATGTCTGGAGTTGATAGGAAGAGGGACAGAAAAATTCACCTGCAATTTTGTAAATCTTAGGGTTGATTCCCTTATTCAACCCAGTTTACCGCAGCAAGGCTCTGTGCAGGGTGTTGGAGAAGCACACTGACTGATGTTACTTCTGCCTTTCAGATCCCTTCTACTGGATCAACCCCGGGGTTCTGGTTCTCATCGCACTTCTGCCTGCACTCCTCCTGCAGATATCTGTGGGCCTTGTGTTCCTGTTTCTGCAACACAGACTGAGAGGTATGTGCAGTGGTTGGGTCTGCCAGGACCTTTCCTCGTCCTTAAGGAACAGTTCATCTTTCAGGCTTCTGAGTTCAGAACTGCATAACAAGTTTTACCGAACACTCTCAGATAGGACTGTGCTTTTCCCTATGACATAAGGCTGACATGAGGAAGAAATTGAGTCCAGGGGTGATTCAGTGACGTGCTCAAATGACAGGTTACAGCCTCATGAAACTGGGAGAGTAGTCTCTTCAAAGTCAGCCAGGGAGAAAATACTAGGCATTATTTTTTTCAGGGTTGGAGAGATTGCTCAGTTGTTAAGAGAAACTGCTCTTCTAGAGAATTTACAACCATCTGTAACTCTAACTCCATGGGATCTAACATTTCTGGTCTCCTCAGGCATCTGCACTCATGTGCATGTACCTACATGCAGACAAACACACCTACACACAATTAAAGATAAAATGAAATTTTAAACTTCAAGCCTATTTTTATTTGTGTGTGCTTGATTGTCTGTATGTGCACACAGATGTATAGGTGCTATAGGAGGCCAGAAGAAGGTGTCAGAGACCCTGGAACTGGAATTACATGTGGTTGCAAGATGCTCTATGTGGGTACTAGGAACTGAACCCTGGGTCCTCTGCAAGAGTTACAAGCATTCTTAGCCCTTGAGCCATGTCTCCAGTCACATTTTAATAAGGGATTCAGAAATGAAAGTCTTTGCCAGATACAGTGCATTAAAAAAATGTTTCTCCTGTCTTTTCCATTCAACCGTGGATGCAAGTTCAGCTGTTGCTGGATTTGTGTGTGTGTGTGTGTGTGTGTGTGTGTGTGTGTGTGTGTGTGTGTGTGCGTGCCCATAACCTCCAGTCAGAGTGTTCTCAGACTGTGTCCTTCCCAGTACCATAGCATAAGTTCTTGTGTTCCCACTTTCTCTTGCTAATAAGAGAGTAAGGCAGCAAGGAGGGTTTGGGCCATGGGAAGGAGTCAGGTAATCAGATCAACAATGGTCTTGCCTTGTGCACAATAGAAAATGCTCCACACTGTACTACATCCCAACCTCACTACATCCCCAACCCCTCAGTGAGGTCTTTTCTTTCTCTTTAAAATCATCCCAAATGTTTGGCTACTTGTTCCTTGGCAAGGAAAAGGCCCACTGCCATCATGGCTGAATAGAACAGGAAGGCCGAGCTAGGTAGCCTAGGATCCAACTCTCTTGTAGACACCAAACTATGAGGAAAAATTCTTAGGTTCTCCAAGTCTCCAAGTAGGGATAGCATTTTCCCTCTTAAACTGTTGGAAGCTTACAAGAAGATAATATAATGGAAAGCGCCTAGTGCAGATATAACCATAAAGTTGTATCTCACCAAATGTCTAGTTCTTCCCTCAAGTAGTGATGTACCTGGCCATGTGAACTGAGCAAGGAGTAATAGAAGAAGTAATAAAGACTTATGATATAGGGCTGGAAGGACAATTCAGGGGCTAAGACCTGTACTGCTCTTACAGAGGGCTCAAGTTCCAGCCCTAGCACCTATGTCAGGCAGCTCATAGCTACCCATAACTTTAGGATCTCTGACAGCCTTTTCTGGATTCCAGGAGGACATGTACTCATCTGTAAACACACACACACACACACACAGAGAGAGAGAGAGAGAGAGAGAGAGACAGAGACAGAGAGACAGAGAGAGAGAGAGACAGAGAGACAGAGACAGACACAGACACAGACACAGACAGACACAGAGACACAGAGAGATAGAGACAGAGAGACAGAGACAGAGAGAGAAATAAAATAAGAAAAACAAACATGATGTGGTTTGAGCATTGCTGGCTGCTGAGGAAGAGCCCTGAAGACTTTTGCATCCTTAAAAGCAGTTTTGGAGGTTCTAGCTGTGAAGTGCAGCTATTTATATACCCTTGACCAAAGAACAGCAGGACCCAGTCTTTTGCAAGATCATTCTCTCTAGCCAAACAAGCAGTTTTGGGAGGGACACATATGGAGTTGTAAGGGAAGAGAAGGGGGCACTCACCTAGCCAACTGGACCATCATGTCATCATGGTCAGCCATGGCCATCATTGGGATGACAGACAGCACAGCTGGGCTGCCCTCACACCCAGGCTCTTGTTTTCTTTACTTGACAACACCTGCAGAAAGAGCCTGAATTCTTGGTTTTGAATCTAGAGCTCTACCCACTCTCCAAAGATGTGCCCAAGCTATCAAGAAGCTGCCCACACAAAGGTCCAGGTTTCAGGTGTAGAAAGGTCCTTATACAGTAGCAGATCAGAAACTAAAACATTGCCTTTTTCTATTTTAGGAAAACTTCGAGCAGAAGTCGGTGAGTTCCAGGCACCCACCCTCACCAATTCCTCCTATCTGGTCATTTAGCCTAGCCAAAATGTCCCTTTCTTCAGACCATTTCTGCCTCACCCTCAATGCTCTGTGCTCCCTTCAACTGCAAGCATCCATATTTAAAACGATAAGCAGCTGAAAATTAGGAATCTTATTGTTTCACTTGAGTTCAGATAGTGTAGACATGAAATCCTCTAGCTTGCTTTATTTTGTGTCAGAACTAGAGCCAGCTCTAAGTGGTTTTAAATAGATCCAGAGAAAGGAGCCCCTTTCAGTGCCCGACTGAATCCATTTTCATCTGTTCCTCTTTCAGAGAATCTCCATCGGACTTTTGGTAAGTTCAGACACATCCCTGCCCTCCCAAGTCACTGTGGGATTTCACTTGTGGCCTGGGGGACTAGGACCAGTGGTTCTTGGTAGGGTCCCTCCACCTGCTTTCTTTGCATTTAAGATCTGTAGGAATATAGCAAAATCTTATGTACCATATTCTAGTGTCCGGCACTACACTAACTTTCACAAATGTAAACTCCTTATATACATGTTTTCATCTTGTGAATTATAAAAGACAGGCAAACAGATCCTTTGCATGTAAACTTGGTTGCCTAGTGGGGAAAAATATATGCTTGAAAAAGACACCACTATTGGTGCTAAAGACACGACTCAGTGGTTAAGAGCATTTGCTGCTCCTCTTAGCCTTGAGTTTACGGAGATCTACCTGCCTCTGCCTCCCCACTGTTGGGGTTAAAGGCGTGTGCTGCCACACCCAGGAAATGACATTTTTTGAAAGTCATCTACTACACTTATAAGGCAGAGTTGGTTTTCATGAGTACAGCCCAGGCATATGGCTCATCAGAGAAGGCTACTTGAGGAAAAAGTAAAGTTGCACTAGTGCCTTTTCTTTTTTGAGTAAGCATTTTATATGGTTCAGGCTGGCCTCAGACTATGTCACAAAGGATGATCTTGGGCTTCTGATCCTTCTGCCTTCACCTTCCAAGTGCTGTTCAATGCATATGCAACTATGCATGCACCGACTAGAATATTAATCCTTTGAGAATCATCTTTGCATTTTCTTTACTTCAGACTGCACAGTCCCTAAGGACAGCATCAACAACAGAAGAATACCCAAATGTTTGCTGAATAAATTCCATACAAATTAGAAGTCAGCATTCAGCAGAGCACAGAAAATTTATGCTCTGAGCAATCTTTCTAAACAGCTTTTCTGTCTGAGGCTAAGAGCAACCCTGTTTAGTTCTCCTGGTACCTGGCACACAGGGCCCCACCCTAGCATCTGACACTGGGCTAGTGTGTGAATGTCACACATGTAGTCTTTGAACATCCAAAGAGAAATGTAATTATGTTTTAGTGTTGTGTGTGTAAGGGTCGAATGGGTGAGTGGGCAGGTGCTCACATGGAGGTCTGAGGACAATCTGTGGGACTTGGTTCTTTCCTTCCATCATGTTGGTTCTGGGAATCAAACTCAGGTCTTCATGCTTAGCAGCAAGTGTCTTTACCAACTAAGCCATCCCACTGACCCCATTCATTTGCTTTGAGACAAACTCTCATATATTTCAGGCTAGCCCCAAACTTGCTATGTAGCCAAAGATTACCTTGAGTTTTGATACCCTGCTTCTTCCTCCTATGTTCTGGGATTGTAGGTGTGATCCACCAAGCCTAGTACATGCTGTGCTGGGTATGGAACTCAAAGCTCTGTGCATGATAGGCAAGTTACAAAAATGTAGCTCTACAAACTGAGCTGCATTCCCAGCCCCCAGGATTTTACTTACAAGATTTGAATGACTAAATTCTTAACCATTTTTGTACCCTGAAATCATAAATGCAGCCAGTGATAATTTCGATAATCGGTCATACTGGCCTCAACATGTGAGATGAGCACTCTACAGAACCACATCCCTAGTCTGTTGTTTGTATTTTTACTATAAGGAAATCTCAGGAATAGCCAAGTTGGTGACCTGTCATCCCAGCACCTGGGAGACTGAGGCAGGACTTCTCAAGTTCAAGGACACAGCCAGGGATACATGACAAGACACCCTATCTCAAAAACAAAACAAAACTCAGCAAACAAAAATGCTAGGGCATGAGGGAGGGTTGGTGAGTAGCTGAACAATGTATGAAAATGTATGCAACCCATTATTTTGTGTGCCAAATAAAATCAGCTTAAAAGGAAAAGCTAAATTCAACTAGAAGTTAACGAAAATAAAGGCACAATGTACCTCGTCCAAATTCGTGGGCTCTATAGTTTGAACTCAAGAGTCCTTTGGTGTTTGGGGGCTTCAGGTTAAGAAGAGTGGGCGTGGCATAGAGGGAAACACTCTGTTCTTCTCTACCATTCAGATCCTCACTTCCTGAGGGTGCCCTGCTGGAAGATAACACTGTTTGTTATTGTGCCTGTTCTTGGACCCCTGGTTGCCTTGATCATCTGCTACAACTGGCTGCACCGGAGACTAGCAGGTGCAGTATCTGGGCCACAAAGAGCACCACTAATGCAGCAGGGAACTCAGGCAAACCAGAGAGGGAAAGAGTGGAACCAAAGGTTCTACGTTCGGGGCTGGGATTGCCTTCCTCCCGTGTCCCCAAGCTCACCATCAGAATCCTTAGAACAATGAGAAGCAATTAGTGAGATGCATGGGTCCGACAGTGGAAAGGGAGGGTTGTCTAGAGAGGATATGAGGTGTAGGGGAGGGGAATCTTCTGCTGATCACCCACCTACTCATCTCTCTTTGTTTGCAGGACAGTTTCTCGAAGAGCTAAGTAAGTTCTCCCCAGCACCCCTCTCCATTCTTGAGACCACTCTCAGTCTGCACCTCTGGAACTCACTGCGTAGACCAGCCTGGTCTGGAACTTATGACAATCCTCTTGCCTCTGTCTCCAAGTGCTAGGGTCATAGGCTATGCCACCATACCCAATCTTTTTCCTTTCTTCTAAACTGAACAACAACAACCAAAAAAAAAAAAACAGCACAGAGAAGATGGTTACTGAGGGACCATTATCCCAGGAAGGACTAGAAAGACTCCTGTGAGGGAAGCTGGAAAGGGAATAAGTTTTCAGTGCCAGAGAGGCTGCTGAGCCACTCTTACCTGGTGACTTAATATCCTCCAGTGCCCCTTGGCCAGAATCCCACTTCTGCATTCTCCTTTGATTGTTATCCTGAACTTCACCTTCAATACCAACCAAGGGGGTGGGAGAGGCAGAGATAACATGATCCCTGGGAATTGTCCATCTCCTAGGTTCAATGACTTCATGAAAGAAACCACTGGCAGATTTTTCAACTTACTTTTCTTTCTTCTAGGAAACCCCTTTTGAGTGATGGTGCAACTTCCTGGCGTGGAGGAGAGCCTCACAGGCCAAGAGAAAGGTTGTTGGGGGACGTCTCTCATTGGCTTCTTTGCTATAGGCACTTTCCAATCTACATCTACAGAAACACTCTGGATTCCAAACAGAATTTGATTTCCCTTCAACTGTTTTCCTTCCCTCAGCTCTCCCCTTCCCCCAATTTTTGCCCCCCCACATCTTTTTACTCCTGTCCCAGTCTTCCTCCAGGAAGCACCCCGTGGCTAAGGCTGGGCGGTCTATCGGAAGATACCTGTGTATCAGAGTAATACAGGAGTGACTCTGTCAAACAGTATATCCAGCACCTCTACATGAAAACTACAGAACATCCACTGTACAAATAGATGTTTCTTCCAAGACCACAGCCTTGACTAGGAAGAACAGCAATGTAGATAGTAGGGGGGGCAGTGACAGCAGGGCCCACGATATTGAGGAATCTGCACAAGCCATAGTGTGACTATGGAGCCTGAACCCAAACCTGAAGATGGGGTCTAAAGGACCCTGATCAGAACACCATCCTGCTTGGGCAGCAAGGGTTGAGAACTGGATATCCTGTCTTTTCCCACCCTTTGCATCCTTTATATCCCTGCCTCTTATTTTCTCCCATCTTTATTGGCCTCAGAATACCCAGTGTTTTATTCAACAGTTACTACTTGATGGTCTACCGGACGTGAACAAGCGAGGTGCTAATTAATAATACAAGTTTCTCTGTGTACACTGTTTTTGCTTTCCTTGTTGTGTCTTTCATCATCCACTCATCTCTCCCACTCAAACCTCCTGAAGCCTGAGACCAGTCTTCAGAAAATCCAGACGCAAAGATTGAGATGACCCCTTCTTGTAGTTTTAAAAATTATATTTATTTTGTGCGGTGGGGAGATATGTGGCGGGGCATGTGTGAGGTTACAGGGGTCTCAGGGTTCAAACTCAGAAGGTCAGGCTGAGTGTCAAGCTCCTTTGCCCTCTCAGCTGTCTCGCCAGCCCCAACAGGTCTTTTATTTATGTTTCAGTAGTTCTCGCTGCATCATGCATGTTTCATCTTGTCTTCTGGGCTTTCATTTTTTTTTTCATATTTTGTTCCCCTGATGACCCCTTTACTTTTGAAACACTTCTCAACTTCAAGGGATCAAAAAAGTCAAACACATGACCCAGGGTTCTCCAGTAATTAACGGGACTGCGTGACCCATCTTTACAACACAAGTGATTCAGCAGGCTTTCCTTTCCCCTAAAGCAGATGTCACAGGCAGGGCAACAGCAGATGCTGTGCTCTGTGTGAGTGTTTGGGTGGTAGCCTGCCACCATGGATGATTGGGAGGGTTCTTAACTGGGCTGATTTTGTATGTGGGATTTGAGGTGGGTAAATAAACCAGTCTTGGTGGTAAAATGCTTGAAACAATAGGAGCAAGTAGTGTTTCCTCATGAGCCTTTCACTGGAAAAGAGTTGGAACTGCCATTCAGGAATGAGGCTCTGCCATGACTTGCCTTATCTCTGGCCACTGGTACCTGGATCACTTTCACACACTTGAAGATGGGAGCTTGGGATCCAGGTGCTGTGAGTGGAACCTCCACATTATGCTCCTGGTTGCCAGCCATTGGCTTCTTGTCTTGGTGTACGCTCTTGTGGCGTTTCACCTCAGTCTGACCCCAGAAGCGGTTTCCACACTCTGAGCATGAACTGGGCCTACTATAAACATGAATGAGTATGTCAGTGACGGCTCAGTGCAGAACTACCACAGTAACTCTTACCACAGATCTCGCAAGTGAAAAACCTCTCTCTACAATACCGGGGCTTGGAGCCCAGGGCTTTGTGGCTAGTAGTCTGCTGGGCCTTCACAGGAAACTGGTGATGAAAGATGTTGATGAACGTTTTCTAACAGTTGACACGGGCCAGGCAGAAATAGAATGATCCGCTTTGGAACATCCCTGTGCAAGGAAGAGAGGCCTTCTCCTCATCATCGCTCTCCTCATCTCCCAGGTCGGAGCTAGGTTCTTGAAATTTCCTCTTGCTTCCTGTGGTAGAGGCAGGAAAACACACAGTTCCACATGACAACATCACCAACACAAGGTTTTCCACTCAGTACAAGTCACTTTTCCATTTTCCCAACCTTTAAAACTCAACCAGTCATCCTTGGATCTTATAGGCTAGAAGTAGGAAAAAACCAGTAAATAAAAATAATAAAAGCTAATAAAAATTTCACAGTAATCTTCTATGACCTCAAATATCTAAATGCTAGCTTACATTTTTGAATCCATCTTCTCATTCTCAATATTGCTCATATTCCCACAGATGACAAGACCACATACTGAAGAGTAATCTCCCCTCATCCCTGATTTCACATGTGTCAGCCATAGTCCAAAATTATTAAAGGGAGAATTCCCTACTATAGGACCATATTCACATAACTTTTTAATATATACTCAACTATTCTATTTTCACTAGTGTTTTAGTTTAATTTATTACTGTGTCTAGTATAATAAATAGAACTCAGGGGCTAAGGATGTAGCTTAGTATACGTAAAGTCTGCCTAGTATACATAAAGTCTTGGGTTCAATCCCCAGCTCTGTAAAAACAAAACAAAACAAAAACACACTTAAATTGGACCTATGTGTGGTCATAGCTTTAAAAATCACTGAAACAAAACCACTTCTGAATAGAGAACTCACCCCAGTGTTGGGGAGGCAAACCATGCATGCCAGTACTTTACCAGTGAGCTAACCCAAGGGAAGACTATATCCTATCATGTAAACTTGGGGTGAAAAGTGATGTTATTAGTTATTAATAACTGAACTGGGAGAAGAAGCAGCATAGCATGACTGTCTCTGACCTGGAGTGACAAGGGCCTTTGGAGTCCAGCCCCAAGGCCCTCTTCAGGGTTCAGTTTGGATGCTACAGAAAGTAAAAGGAACTTAGGGTACCCAAGGGCTAATGAACTCTCTCACAAGGTGCTGTTCCAAACAGGTCTCTTCATTCTTGTGCTTCTATGCTAATTCTCCTGTCCTAATTTTAATTCCTCCTAGCTTCTTCTCCTCTAGCCCAAAAACTGTCTTCTGACAGGAGGCTTAAAGAGATGAAAAAATTACAAGAATTACCTCTTGAATTGGTCAAAAGCACATTTCTAGGGTAAGTGATAAGTAACTGAGCCATTTACCATGGCAACACATGGTTCCAAGGTTACAAGAGTAAGACTGTGACCAGACAGCGTGGGGCACAGTGCCCAGTGACAAACTCTGAGATATAGGCCTATTGCCAGCAGACTTGGCAAGCAAAGAATTGGCATCCTTTTCTTAGGGTGTTTTGTGTAGTAACCTTGGTTAGACACCTACAGCTCTGACCTTGTGCGTAGCTGTAAAGTTTTAAATTTATGATCTGTTTACAAAAAAACCTTTAATCTAAACTTGCTCTGAGGTAAAAGTGAGCTAATTGTGTGCCATTAGTCTGAGCAAAGGGAACAAAGCTGGCTTTTAAGTGTCTACAGTCCTCATGGAACAAATAGCTCTAGTTATGAAACATTTCCTAGTATGTTTTCTATATATCAAAATTATACTGCTAAATGAAAAGTCATCTTCCTGAGTATCCACAGATATATGTGCCTAAGACTGAGATGCAATCATGAGATTACATATATACATCACATGAGATTACACACTACAATGCAGATATTGGGGAGACACCAGGCAAAAGTGAGCAGCAGTTTCCAGAGTTGATGGTCCTGCAGGCCTTGCTGGACAGGATTAACCTGCATTAGAGTCACTCCTCTGGTGGTTGACATCTAAACACTAGTTGTCACATACTGTAACTCTCATGGTCTCTGACCCTGGTGTAATCAACCTAAATTAGCATTCTTCTCCATTCCTTATTATCTCAGGAACAAGCTTATCCTTCTCCACTTTGGATTGCTGCTTGGGAAGAATTTGTTAACCAAAAGGTAACTGGGACATAAGTAACCCACATGTAATCTCTCAATTCCTAGAAACTAGATTCCTTGTTTTGAAAGTCTTGGCTATTCATTATGAAGTCAGTGGATTTAAACCTTTTTTAAAGAAGATTTTTATTTATTATGTATACAGCATTCTGTCTGCATGTATGTCTGCAGACCAGAAGGGGGCACCAGATCTCATTACCATATGGTTGCTGGGAATTGAACTCAGGACCTCTGGAAGAGCAGTCAGTGCTCTTAACCGCTGAGCCATCTCTCCAGCCCGGACTTAAACCTTTGATCTCAAGGTTTCTTCTAGTCTCATATCTAATCGGGATGGAAAGGTGTAAAAATATTGAGATGATATGCTGAGCCTGGATCCTCTACTATAGCTCAACATTCTACAATTGTCCCGGGCCCTTTTACCTTCCTCTCTCCTTTGCATTTTTTCTATTATAAAATTACACTTTTGTTATTTTGTATGCATGTGTGCATGTATATACATGCTACAACATGCTAATGGAGGCAAGTGGAGGACAGCTTGTAGGATTGGTTCTTTCCTTCCAAGTACATGTCACATTCCAGTTGTGAGACTTGGTGACAGGCAATTTTAACCACTGAACTATTTTGCTGGCCCTTGGTTTTGTGAGATGATGGGGCCTCAAGTACACTATGAAGCTGAGGTGTTGGAATTACAGATGTGAGCTACCACAGCCAGCTTCCTTTGCCATTCTTACCTGTTGCCTTTGGGAGATGGAAACCTGATCTCCTCTGTCCTTTTCCTTTTGGCATGATATTCTGATTTGGTTTAGGCAGAAGATATTTTGGCTGTGAGTGGAGTTATATTTTTGGGTGGGTGGGAGGTATAGATTTGTTGACTTTGGCAACAAGGTCACACTATACAATGCAAGCTGGCTCTGAACTCTCCACCCTTCCAAGTGGTGAGATGCACTACCATGACTATCTGCAGTGTGGAAATGAAACAAGTTGGTTCCATGCTAAGCCCTTTATGTACCATGCAGACAACAGGCATCCTCGTATGTGATTGCTTTCAGAAAGTCAGTCTAGACCTGGAGAGTTGACTCAGCAGTTTAGTGCACTTGTTAGTCCGTGGAGGATCTGAATTCTGTTCCTAGTAACCACATGGTGGCTTACAACCGTCCATAAGCCCATACCAGGCACCCACATAGTGTACATACAAACATGGAAGCAAAACATTCATATACATAAACCCCAAAATGCCGGGTTTTGTTGTTTTTTAGGGAGCATTAATCTAAGACATGTGGTTGCAGGGAAAAAGAATATTTAAAAAGGCAACTTCTAGTATAATGCATTGCACACAAGACTAAGTAAATATTGGTTGGATATATACGCAGGTGCTTTTTTTTGAGATAGTTTCATTATGTAGTCCAAACTGGCCTCAATCTCTATAACCAAGGGTGGGGCTTAACTTTATAATCCTCCTGTATCAGCCCCAGAAATGTTGGGATTACAATTTTTTTCACAATATGCTGATAGTGATAAAATTGTCTTGGGCTTGGGGAAGAAGCTCAGTAGATAATTGTGTGCCATGCAATCATGAGTTCTTGAGTTTGATCCCCAGAACACATAAAAAGGCCAGGTGTAGTAGCATATAAATGGATATAACACCTGTGCCTGGAAGCAGAGATCCTTAGGTCTCACTGACCAGTCATCCTAACTGAATCAGTGAGTTCCAGATTAGTGAGAATATACCCAAAACAAAAAGAACAGGGTGGATGGTATCCTGAGGAACAAGGCCCAAAGTTGACCTGGCTTCCATGTGAACACATAAATATACCTACACGTACATGAACACACACAAAACATTATCTTAGTCTTTCTACAGGGTTTTTTTGTTTTCAGGTTTATTTGTTTATTTTGTTTTGTGTGTATGTCTTGTGCCCACAGAAGTCAAAAAAATAGTTTAAGACCCCCTGAAACTAGAGTTACAAATGTTTGTGTGTCACCGTGTGGGGGTTGGAAACTGACTGAACTCAGTTCCTCTGCAAGAACAAGTTCTCTCTCAGTCCCTGAGCCACCTCTCTGGGCCTATGTAGATTGTTTGTATTGTTTTCCCTTGTAGTCCAGGCTGGCCTTAAAGTTCCTATGTAGCTGAGAATCAACCTTGACCTAGTATTCCTACCTCCACTTCCAATCCTTTTGTTTTTACCCCTGAACTTTTCGACTCAGATCTTCCAGTATAGAACTAGGAACCAACTTTGATCTATGGGAGTAAAAAAAAAAAACTAACCATATATTCCATATATTCTAAGGCTATAGGACAGGAAGAGTGCTGAGGGAGTCATGGCCACTTACTCACACACGCCCATTTCCCAAAGAGTTCTGATTGCACATCCTGGTAAAGGGCCTTCTGCTCACAACTCAAATATTTCCATTCTTCCTGTGTGAAAAGTCAGTGCTGTATCCTCACAAGTGACTTGACTCTGGAGTGACTGGGCAGACTTAACAATTAAAATACAAAGACTTGAAGTGACTGAGGTAGCACCATCTTGTCCTGACTTTGTGTCTGCTTAGTGACCCTCTAAACAATCACATCAGCCTTGGCAACACATTTAGGGATTTCTATGACCCTGACCACAGCACAAATGCATAACCAAAATATCTGCTGAAGTGTATAACCAAAGCAAATATTACCAGGTTCCCCTAACCTAAACCTGACAATGTGGTTTTTGCCTTTGTAACTGCAGGACCCCTGCCAACAGTTTTTCCACGGTGCTAGCCTGTTCCTAGTCACCGGTTTAAATGAAGGACTCTTATTTGGCCTCATAAGCATGGCAGTGTGTAACATTCCCACCTGGACTATAATACTTTCTCAAGATTTAGAGAACTCAGACCCTAGAGAAAGATGATACCATGAAAGGAAAGAAGAACTATGAAGAAGGGCACAGAGTCAGGACCTGTGATTTACAGAAAGGAAAGGGGGGGTACAGAAAAAGGAAATCACTGCGTATGATTAAAAGAGAAGTGAAGGAAAAGAAATTGCTACTCTTACAAAATCTGTGAAGGATACTAGGGTGGTATGGGAGATAGAGTAAATCATGCATTTTCCCCCCTATTGTTTGGCCTGGGACAATGTGAAGTTCTACTACATCCACAGGCAGGAGAGTGGGGAAAAGACCTCAGATAGTCTAAGGCCTACCATTTCTCTACCTGAGCTTCTCTGTCCTTCTGTTGGATTTCACTGGTAACCTCTGTGTTATACTCATGTGTGACTTTCTCTAACTTAGTTTTTTTTTTTGAGAAATCTCTCATTGAACCTGAAACTCAACAATTCAAGAAGAGTATCTGGCCAGAAAGCCTCTGGGGTTATCCTGTGGCACCTAGTACTTTTTTGTATCATTTTGTTTTGCTTTATGTGGGGACTGAAGATCTCAAGTTGAGTCCTCATGTTTGTACTAGTAACTTTACCCACTGAGCCATCTGCCCAGCTCCTCCACCATAATCTTTCCTCTGGGCTTCTGTAGAGTGGCTAGCATACTACTTCCATGCAGCAGCGTATCTTTAGTTATGTCTCTTTCTGGTTTTAGTCACTTTTGATCTGGCCCCCAAAAGTAGTGGAACTCCTTGTGACTATCTCCCAGAAACTGGGAAAATAGAGAGGTCCGACAAGGGCCCCAGCATTTGATACAGCCTCCTATATCAAAAGCATCTACTCTAGAAGACTGTCTTCCTTGAATGTTCAGCTGTCCAAATTCTCCTCTTTCACAATTGGTAGTGTTAGTTCCCTCAAAGCCCAGGCTGTAGAGAAGAGTTCAGGGCTCCTGTTACCTGTTTCTTAGCTTCCATTGTTTGGTAATCCCAGGCTGGTGCTGGGTGTTTGACATCTATTCCAGACTGCTTCTAGCCACTATTGGTTGGTGCCCATTTCCAGAAATCTGAGGTGAGGGAAAAACATATAATGTCAGCAAAAGGATAAGAAGCAAGTGCTTCATCAACACTAGCTTCCTGCACTGTGATGGAACCTTCTCAGCAGTGCCCCTTGAGTAACAGTTAATGGTTCCATCTTCACAAACCTCAAGTGTAGAGATGTTGAGTCATTCACTCAAGGACACCTGATCCATGGGAGAGCTAGGCTTTTAATCTAGATTCAGTGTCACTGAAAAGCATATACCTGAATTTGTCACAACCTCTTTGAGTCTGTCTCTTCATCCTCCCTGACTTGATTTCATTGGAAACATGGAAGCAAATATCTCTTCCAGGACCAAAGAATAAAACAGATTTTTTTGTGACCTGACTATGTGTGTGGTACCCTGGGGCTCAGACCCAGGGACTTGTGCATGCTAAGCAAGTTCTGTACCACTGAGCCTTATGTATACCCCAAGCTCTATGACTTAGATTTTTAATATATTGATACATTATTTATAATCATCGAGCTATCCCCTGATGACCTCTTAAGCTAAAAATATAATTAGGTCAGACGTGCAAATAATGCAACTAGCCTACAGAACCTCATAGCTTAGTAACATAGCACACTGGAGAGTGTTTTGTTTCCCCTCCTACTATGTAGCTGTCAGTCAGACTGTGACCACTATCCAACATGAAGAGAACACCAAAGTATCACGTGTACCACATAGTGCTAGTCTCGGAACAGTTAAATAAAGTGTAAGACTTTCCCATCATTTTGAACCATCTTAAGTCTTGGCATCATGAGTCAGGTATCACTTCTACAAACAGACCCTTGCAAAGTACAGTGGTAATATTCCAACAGCATTTAAGTTCCCTGTTCACCCTGAAAATGTTATGCTCTGGTTTTAAAAAGGGGGGGCCTCTTCCTGTGGACAGCCACTCACCTGTTTCTCCTCTCTCTACATGCTAATGAAATCATAAAGGCATAAAAACATGATGCCCTTTCTTTTCCACTCACTTCTTTGGTGATTGAAAATACATCAAGGGACAAGGCATTTGAGGAGTTGCTAACTGGGCCCCCAAGAAGCTGCCAGAGAAGCTGCAGTCCTAGGATCTGGAGTTGATGCTCTTCCTTCTCTGTCTTCTTACCTTTTATTGCCCTCTCCCTTTCTTTTAAAACGATTTGAGCCTGTTGTTTGAGATGTATGGGTCGAGCATCACTCTCCCATTTTTTAGCCATCCACATTCCAAACAGCTCTATACTAGTGTTTTCAGGGACCTGCCCTTAAGTTTTCAGGAAGACCCCTGCTATCATCAAGTCTTCACAATGACAGGTAGATGTGAGTGTGGTGACCCAGCCTTATTATCCAAGCACTAGGAAGACTGAGACAGGATCTCCACGAGTTCTGGCACAGCCTGGACTGTGAAATAAGTCTCAAAACACACACACACACACACACACACACACACACACACAGATAGCAGGGTGCAGTCCTTGGTACATACAGATTTAGGCAGTTTAAGAAGACTAACAAGTATTGCTCACTTCAACCATCTCCTCCCTCTTTGATCTCCTTCTGTACTTTCCTGGTCCAGGAGCTTTGAGAGGGGAAAGAGACTGAAAAATACACTTGGCTGTTAATTGGCAGGAGGTCTCAAGTGGATTCTCCTGTGCCCTGGCCTGGCCCCATCCTTCCATGGGGTAAATTTCTGGAGGGAACGTGCAGGCATCTCTCAATCCCGAGTCCACTCCTCCAACTAAACCTCTTTTGTGGGTTCGCAAATCTAGCCCCAGTGGCACACATTTGTAATGCCTGCTCCCAAAAGGCCAAGGCAGGAAGATCAGGCAGCCTTGGTGCAAGACACCCTGCCTGTCCGTCTCCTTTTCTCTAAATCGAGGCGTCTAAATCTGAGACCCACACCTCTTACACACACACACACACACACACACACACACACACACACACACACCTTGAGGAAACATGCCCCCACATCGTGGGCTTTGCTGGATGCCCCCGGACAGGGGGTTCAGCTTTTCCAGTGCGTTGCCGGGTGGGGAGGGTTCTCCCAGCCAGGTGTCGGTCCCCTCATGGCTCCACTCGGGGCGCTCAAGCTCTCACAGTGGGTGCCCGCGGCTCTGCAGCCCTAACAGTCCCTTGGCTGGCATACAACTTTCCCAAGCGTTCGTCCTCCGAGCAGTTGCCCTGGACTGTGCACACTCAACCCTGAAACTCCGTTCTCTGCCTCTTCGAGGATCGAAGTTCCTTGAAGGACCCAGAGTGTTCAGGCCCCGACGGGAGCACGGAAGCATGAATTCGGGAAGGTGCTTCTGCCCCAAGTCGGGAATTCATAATGCAGTGACTACACCTTGACTCCCTCCACTTCCGCTCTGCAGGTAACCCACCTGGGGTGGCTGCCTGCCAAGGTCAGAAATTTAGATCTTAAGAAGCCCATGCCTTCTCGCCCCGCCTACGGTCTATCACCACTGGTTACACCTGAGCTAGGAAATCTCATTTCCCAGAGTTAAGTATTTACTTCTGGGGTGGTGGTGTGGGGGGACAGGGAGGGGGCTCCTGGATGCGTGACTCAATTTTGTTAATTTCAGTACTAGGCAGATGGAAGTGAGTTCCAGGCCAGCCTGGACTACACAGTTAAAACAACAACAACAACACATAAAAGACACAACTACTAAAAGCTTTAGCTCTCTCCTGGCGAGACCAAAGGAAAACTGGAGCACTTCGCTCCAAACAGAATGAGTCATGGATCAGCTTCATAGATTAAAGTAAAAACTAAGAAACTACACAACGAGGCTTAAAAGACACATCCTGGGAGGGATAGATGGCTCAGTAGTTAAGGGAGAGTCCGGAATACCCAAGTTCGGGTCCCAGCACAGACAGCTCACAATCACCTATAACCAGGGGATCCCACACTCTCATCTGGTACCTGTCCATATGTGACATATAATCAGAGAGACCAATGTGAATAAAAATGATGATAATTAAAAAAAAAAGACGTAGAGATCACACCAGGGTCAAGTCTTCCTAGCCCTTTACACAGCAAACTTGCTTCTGTCTCTCTTTGTAATCTTGTTTTTTCTTTTAATCAGCTCAATTGAAATCACAACACTTAGCCCACGTCTATATCAAAGCATGAGAGTGAGTGGGGAAGGTAACTGGAAAGTGCAGAAGCACTTGTATATATTACTACCCTCTTCAGATCACATGAACTAGGCAGGCAGTGAGGTCAACAAACATGTTTCCCACCAAAAAATGGAGAAATGACTGTTCCTCACCCTGGATTCAAATTACTTTTCATACAAAACTGGGCATCATAGTTAACTGATTTAGTTTGGTCTTCCATTTTAAATCAACTATTTCTTTATTTTGAGGCAGGGTCTTGCTATCCAGCCCAGTGCAGGCTGTCCAGGAACTTGCTAAGGAGCCCATGCTGGCCTTGAATTCAAGGTCCTCTTACTTGAGTGATTATGCCTGTGCCACTGGACCTGGCTTCTGGTCCTTAGTTCTTGAGGTGGGGATAGGGAGCTAGCAGATATGACTGAAACACCATCTTCCCCACCAGGTAGCTCTGGGACACATTCCAACACCCTTAAAACATTCTAGCCCTTAAAACAGATCAGCATTTTATGCTGGTCACTCTACAGGCACCTCGACTGTTCCTACCTGATGTGTGATGCGCTAAGAACCTTTGAGAAAGCCCAGGTACATTCTAGCCCACTGTAGCCTACCTTTACCTAGCTTGACATCCCGTCTCCTGCCTTGGAGTAGCAGAAGCCTTCCGTTTTTGCTGATATCTAAGTGATGTGTCTGTCTATAAATCTTTGTACACTGCACTCTACACAACCCCAGATTTGTCTGCCTCTCTCTTCAGTCTCAGTTCCTCTACACTAGGTTTTCCAGAGACAGTTTGGTTCAGATAATTGAGGCTGGAGTATTTCAACTTGACACAATCTAGAGTCACCTGAGAGGAGGGGGCCTCAATTAAGCAAATGCCTCCATAAGGTCAGGTTGTAGGCAGACCCATAAGGCACCTTTTTTAAAGATGTATTTATTATGTATACAGTGTTCTGCCTGCATGTATGGCTGCACACCAGACAAGGACAACATATCTCATTATAGATGGTTGTGAGCCACCACACGGTTGCTGGGAATTAAACTCAGCACCTTTGGAAGAGCAACCAGTGCTCTCAACCTCTGAACCCCAGTAAGGCATTTTCTTAATTAGTGATTGATGGGGGAGGGCCTAACCCATAGTGGGTGGTGCCATCCCTGGGCTGGTGGTCCTGGGTTCTATAGGAAACCAGGCTGAGCAAGACATGAGGAGCAAATCAGTCAGCAGCACCCTCCATGGCCTCTGCATCAGCTCCTGCCCCCAGGTTACTGTCCTGTTTGAGTTCCTGTCTTAACGTTCTTCAGTGATGAGCAGTGATATGGAAGTGTAAGCCAAATAAACCCTTTCTTCCCCAACTTGCTTTCTGGCCATGGTGTTTGATCACAGCAATAGAAACTTAAGAGAGTGCCTACGTGTGTTTACCAACCCCCTAAGCAAATCACTGCAGCCCAAGCGGCTCTAGTGTTGACAGCATTTAGATCACAAGGCAAGCACGGAAGGACTGGGATCCAAAATCTGAATATTACTGCTGATGCATTCAGTGTACAATGTCTGCCTAACGTACAGAAAGCCCTGGGTTCCCTCCACAGTACCACAAACAAAAATCTGAACACCAACTCTATCCAAACTCCAGGCTGGCTGCCTAAGTAAGTATTCATGAGTGTAGAAAAACTGGACCATGCGGGAGGTCTATCCTTAAAAGACAGAACCTGTCCTGGTGGAATTTGCAAATCTGCACCTTTGCTCCCCCCCTCCCCTGCCAATCAACACCCATTGAAGCAGAAAAGGTCTTGATGAACAGTCAGGTGCAGGTGCCAGATGCTATCAAGTAGTTATAATTTCAGCACTAGAGACAGGATTGCAGCACACTTGCAACCAGCCTAGATTATAGAGAAGAACCCTGTTTAAAATAAACAAAACAAGCAAAGATCCCTTAGTGGCATAAATCACCGACCTCCAGAATTCTTAGCTGTTTGTATGCTTGGAAATTTTGGAGAAATTATAGAAACCAGATGGCCATAGAAAGGGTGGGCACAAAAGCCTGAATGGAAACTAACTAAATCTTTGTTGACCGCTAATTCATATGGATGCAGAACAAGCGTATTTAAATACCCCATCCTAAAATGTAGCAACTGAGTACAGGGAAAATGGAGCATGAATGTCAGCCCCTGCATTGCTCACCCAAGGCTGACATAATGGGGTGCAGTCCAGGCAAGTTAATATGCATCTAAAAAAAAAAAGACCAGCCTGAGTGTCAACACCTGAGGATGCAGCGCAGAGACGGGACATTTTCTTAGTTTGTGAGATGTAAGATCTCAAGTTTGAGGCTTGGGCTACAAAGGGACATCTTGTCTAAAAAACAAAGAACCAAAACCCACCGCCACCCACCAAGCAAACAAAGACTGGCAATATTAAGAAAAGCCTAATACTAATAGTTTCCATATTTGTTAAAATATAAAAATTCCAAGGGCTGGGGAGATGGTTTAGCACTTAGGCTCACTGACTGCTCTTGGAGGTCCAGGGTTCAGTTCTTAGCGCTTATGTGGAGGCTCACAGCTTTCCATAACTCCAGTTCCAAGGGATCAGACGCCCTCCGGCCTAAGAGAACCAAACGTGGCAAGTGGTGCCCAAGTGTACATCCATGCAAAATATACACACAAAATACAATGAAAACAAATTGCATTTAACATGCTTTGATATCTCTTGCCCTCTCTCCCCCTCTCATAACCTGACATTTCAATGGGTCCTATCCATGTGAAAAGTGGCACTCTAGCTAGACGCCCCTAAGTCTGTCTGCAACTGAACCCACCCATGAAGCATTGATGTCCCCGTCTAGACTTCCTGTGTCCTTTTCTCTGTAGTTTCCACCCACCATTCATTCCTTTTGGCCACTCTCCAGGTCTCAACCCCTCTATTTTGACATCTGGGGCCTCCCTGTCTTCCCAAGACAAAGCCCCGGGTGGTTCTGGCTCCTCCTACATCTTATTTGTGCAAAGTTCTGGGCTGGTTTCCAGAAGAAGGGAAGTCCCAGCTCAATGGGAGCTCCGAACTAGCTGTGTAGTCAACCTGTAGACTTCTGTCGTGAGTCAGAGTCCTCCAGCACTCAATGGAGAAGACGCATCTGTGTTTTCGTGGATTTGGGAAGCACACAGACCCTGAACCTGACACAGCTTTGAGTACTGAACCCTGTCTGCTGAAAGCTTTGGTGACACTGGGGAAGTTAAATCCGCAGGAGGGTTAAGTGCTAGGGTCGTCTGTCCTAAATATCATGGCCACACGAGGGCGCTGCTGCTCTATCTTCCAAAGATCTAGGGTCGTCTGTCCTCAATATCATGGCCACGCGAGGGCGCTTCTGCTCTACCCGCTATACTGTGCAAGCAGAGAGAGGACAGGGTTGTCTAGGAATCAGCCAGAAATGGCCTACTGAAGGCTGGGACAGGGTTTAGGGGATTACACAGTAGTTGGAAGACAGTAGAGCTGTTAGAAAGAATCTTGTCATATCTCTTAGTATTCCCCTCTCCAACCCCTTGATGTAAATAAACATTACTTCCACTTTCCATTCCCTTCCTAAGGGTTGGTTTAGGGTTCTGCACATAAGTGCAGAACTGGGGATTCAACACATTGAACCCAGGGCACAGATTAAGCAAGCAATCCATCACTGAACAACACTCTCAGTCCCTGAAGACTATTTTCTAAACATGACCTTTAAAATTTAGCATTACAGTTCTTGCAAAGGACCTGAATTCAATTCTTAGCACTCACAGCAGATGGCTCGCAATAAACCTGTACCACAGGCTCCTCTGTTACACTCACACACACACACACACACATCTTAAAATAAAATAAAATTTAGAATGCTCTTAGATTTCCAAGGAAACCTCTAAGGTGAGGCACAGGGCCTCCAGTTTCTCTGTCTAAAACATTCTACAAGGCTGGAGATACAAATCCATAATTAAAAGCACTGTCTGCTCTTTCAGGGGGTCCAGTTTCAGTACAACACCCACATGGTGGCTCACGGTCATCTCCTTCTGACCTCCAGGCCACTGCAAGTATGTCCTCCCCATGAACTCACACAAGCAAACACACACACACACATACTCACACACACACACACACACACACACACACACACACACACACGAGAGAATAAATCTCACATCATCATATGTCTATAACTCATGAAACTATATTGACACATGCAGCTCTACCTATTTAATTTACACTCAGGTTATTACTAATAATGTCCTTTGTCTT